ACACACACACACACACACACACACACACACACACACACACACACACACACACACACACACACACACACACACACACACACACACACACACACACACACCACCACCGCCACCACCACCACCGCCATCACGCACGTACGCACCTGGCCCACCACCAAACCACCAAGACGCCACACCACGTCACACCACAGCACACGCGCACACACGCACACACACACACACATACACACCACCACCACAACAACCACAACCACGCACACACGCACGCACGCGCACCACAACCCACTACGCACACGCGCGCGGAGCCACAGGTCCGCTACGACACGCGTCCGCGGATAGAGAAAAGCAGCGCCATGGTAAAGGATGGGAGGGAGGGGTAGGATGTCAGATGTTGACGCGAGCGCACCTAACTTGTCCTGCTCCCCCTCCTCCTCCTCTTCCTTCTCCCCCTCACTCCTCCTCCCCATCCTCCTCCTCACTCCTCGCTCCTCCATCCTCCCCCTCCTCCTCCCCCCTTCTCCTCCTCTTCTTCCTCCTCCTCCACCTCCTCCACCACCTCCTCCACTTCCTCCTCCCTCCCTTCTTCTCCTCTATCTCCTCCACCTCCCCCTCCTCCTCCTTCCTCCTCCTTCTACCTCTTCATCCTCCACCTCCTGCTTCTGCTCCTCCTCCTCCTCCTCCCACCTCCTCTCCTCCTCCTTCCTCCTCCTCCTCCTCCTCCTCCTCCTACCTCCTCCACTCTCCTCCCCTCCTCCTCCTCCTCCTCCTCCTCCTCCTCCTCCTCCTCCTCCTCCTCCTCCTCCTCCCCCTCCTCCTCCTCCTCCCTCCTCCTCCTCCTCCTCCCTCCTCCTCCTCCTCCTCCTCCTCCTCCTCCTCCTCCTCCTCCTCCTCCTCCTCCTCCTCCTCCTCCATCTTCCTCCTCCTCCTTCTCCGCAAGCAGCCCCCGACCCGAGGCGAGCAGCAGCGCGTGAGCATCGCGCGGATCCTGGCCGCTGGCCCAGCCGGCGCGCGCGCGCGCCGAGGTGCTGCGGCCCTGGTCGCGGCGGGGCGGCCCTTGCGGTGGGGCACCATCCCCATCTCAATGTTCAGTCGGGCGTGTCCCTCTACAGGAGGAACATGCTAAAGAGTCAAAACAGATTCTGGGGATGATTTGTTGAGCCCTTTTTTGTCGGTATATTTGACTAATTTTGTTCGTCCAGAATTCGCCTGTAGGAGGACGCGCCCGACCTAACCTCAGTGGCCCTGCCCTGTTCGATTTCCTCCCGGGGGTGCGTTCACGGAGTGGCTCCCCTCGTCGGGGTGCTGACCTCTAGGCCTTATGATATTAAAGCCTACTTTAGCCTTGACCGCCAGAAAGTCCCCCCAGGGGGGGGGGAGTTGACGAGGAGGAGGAAGAGGAGTGGGGGGAGGAGGAGGAGGAAGAGGATCGGAGAAGGATCGGAGGAGGAGGAGGAGAAGGAGGACAGGGACTAGGACGAGGACGAGGAGAAGGACGAGGACAAGGACCACGACGACGACGAGGACGACGACGATGATACAGTTGAGGCCTATGCCAAGAAGAACCCTGTTTGCCTCCAGGGTGCCTTGTGTTTTTTGGGTCGCGATGGTTTTGCGATGGAGCGCGTGACGTTCCCGCACCAAAAACAAATGGATTTCCTGGGGTCACAGGGTTGGGTTTCTTGTGGAAGGTTTCCTGTGGACTGGCCTCCACTGCAGGGGTAGTTTTATGATGTTCCAACCTTCGTTAGCCTTGATCACCAGAAAGAACTTCGAGCACCAAGAAAGTACCGACACTTAGGGAGTTTCACGGGTCGGGCCCTGGGAGGCGACACTCGTTTCGACACTTTTCTGGGTGCTCGAAGTTATTTCTGGGATGTGGTCCTTCAGTACGATGTGAGCAACATAACTCTAGGCCTCCCATATGGGGTCCGATTAGACGGGGCCGGAGGACCGCGCCGCATCGTCGATGCAATGCCGATGCGGCTCGATGTGGAGCCTGACGTCCTCCACGCCGACGGCGCCGATGCATCGCCGGCGTCGACGGTGCATAGCCTGTGCATCGCCGACGCATCGCCGACGCATCGCCGATGCATCGGCGATGCGAGGCGAGGAGGAGGAGGAGGAGGAGGAGGAGGAGGAGGAGGAGGAGGAGGAGGAGGAGGAGGGGGGGGAGGAGGGGAGGAGAGGGGGGAGGGGGAGGGGAGGAGGAGGAGGAGGAGGAGGAGTAGGAGGAGGAGGAGGAGGAGGAGGAGGAGGAGGAGGAGGAGGAGGAGGAGGATCCTCCGGCTCCATGTGATCCGACCCCATCTGGGAAGCCTCTGCTGCCAGGGAGGTGGATGTTCTGCTCCCTGCCCTGGCGCTGCAGCTCCGGGGCAGAGAGGGGCCTCCGAGCTCGGGGCCCGGGCCGGGAGCCGGGGAGGGGAGCCCCTGCTCCTCGGCCCCTCGGCCCGCACCCTCCCCTCGGGTCCCGACTCCTGGCTCGGTACCCCTACGTAAGGAGGGAGCAAAAACACACAGACACAATTAATCGTCGATTCCCCAGAAGATATAAGAAAATATGGGAAGTAGGGGGGAAGACAAAAGCATCGAAAATATGGGAAAATATGGGGAACCCTTTTATTTGTGTCTATTTATTTGTGTGTCCCAGGACCCCTTCACAACGGTCGGACCGAGGCGATTAAGGAATTGGCCGTTTTCGGTTCGCGAGAGGGCGTCGCGGCCGTCATGTTTGCGGGTCCAGGTCCGTCGGTTTCGGTCCCAGGCCGTTTTCACTAAGGGGAGGTCTACTAAAGGGAGGTTTGTCTACCGCCGATTAATGTTCTTCGCTGTTGGATGTTTTAGTGCGCATCCTGGGGAAAGTTGCCTTCGACTGTCCTTCAGCTTGGCCGGCAGAGGGTCTCGTGCTCCTGAAAGGTGTTTTTCTGTCCTAGGTCCGGCCGTACTGCTACCCTGCCATCGTTTTCCCCCTCCGGCCTCATGGGAGGCCCTCGTCGCCGCCGCTGGATTTGCCTCGAAAGTCTGGTCAGTGCGCACCCCGGGGGGAGGCCCAGGGAGCATCTCTATCGGTACCTTCTGGTCCCCCCCCACAGTTTTTGCACTACGGGGCATGGTGCCCTGCTTCGGGCCCTGGGATCCTGACACGTCGATCCAGCTCGAAGCATGCAGCAGAAGTGATCGTTTCCTTATTCACTTTTTTGTCGATCGGCGCGGGCCCTCGCACCCCCCTCCCCCCCCCAAGGAGTAGATCTTGGCTGCTTTCTTTGGGCGCCTGTTTCGAGCAGATGGAGACTCGCCCATAGGACGCAATGTTGCAAACAGTCGCGCTGAGCAGGGCCTGGAGCGAGACCCCCCCCCCTCCCCACTCCCTAGGCCCAGTGTCGAAACGCCGAATCTGAGAACACGGCGAAAGGCTTCGGGCCCTCTTCGGCCTCTGCGGGTCCTCGCCGGGCCTGGCGCCGTCAACGAGAAGGCTCGGGAAGAGAAGCCGTCGGGGGGCCCAAACGGTGCGGTGGCCGCATCGCGTGCCGAGTGTGTGGGGATTCGGGGCCTCGTGGGCGGGAAACATATCCAGATTTGCTCGCGGGCTGGGCCCCCCAGGACGCGATCCCGTGGATGCGGGGAGTTGTTTCCCGGATGCCCCGCGCGGAACGCATCCATGCGACCGCGCGTCCCCGGGATCGCGCCCTGAAATCCAAACCGCGAGGGTGTGGATTTATGATGTCCCGACCCACTTCAGCTTGGTTCGACCCTGTTCGCGGATGCCCCGCGCGTAACGTGGGCGTGCGACTGCGTAGCCGCGGCGTCGGGCTCCAGAGTCCAGACCGCGAGGGCACGGATACGGTGGGTTCGATTCGTGTCGGCCGGCGGCGAGCCCGCCAGCGGCGTTCGACGTGGAACGCCGCGGGCGACCCAGAATCCTTCGATGTGGAACGGAACGACCTGGGCGCTTCGGAAACGGCCGACTGTCCGAGGCTGACCGACCCCCGCGGTGGCAGAAGCCGACGCCGAAGCCGGCGCGGCACGACCCCGACGTGCGGATGTGCTCGCTGCTCCGGAGCGCGCCGGGCCCCGGTCCGGGCGCGCGGCCCCGAGGGGCCGGCGGCCTCGAGGGGTCTTCCCGGCGCGCGGATCGGTCGGGCGCCTCGTGGGGTCGGCCACGCGGGGAGGCCTGCAGGATCCTTGCAGGATCCTGCAGGATCTTGCAGGATCCTGCTGCAAGGCTTGAGTCGGGCCTGGCCCTCTCCATGGAGAGTATGCACAGATACCTCAAAAGAATAGTCTGGGGACGATTTGTTCGAGACTGTTCTTGGGCATTGTGGGAGTATTTTTTGGGATACTTTTATTTTTTCGCAAGAGATCCCCCTGTAGGGGGACAGGCCCGACCTAACGCAAGGCCTGACTGACCTGGGTCTGGGTTGACGGGGGAGAGTAGATCCCCGATCCCAGCGAGTCGCGAACTCTTTCGTGGCCGACTTGGCCAAGACATGTTCCAGTAGGTGCGCTTCGAAGGTGAGTGTCAGCCACGCGCAGTGGGGGGGTGGGGGGAGGGGGGAGGGCTTCTTAGAAGCGCCCATTCTTAGAGGGCGCGGGCCTTCTCTATAGATGTAAGGCCGGCGCCTTCTAAGAAGCTGCCTCCTTCCAAGAAGCCCTCCTCCCTCCCCCCACTCACTTGTGCGCGCCGCCACGTAAGGTCAGCAGCGAGCTCAGGGGTGCCTTCTCAGGAGGCTCAGACAGGCCTGGTATCTTCTGCCCTTTTGGGGGTCCGCCGTCTTCGGCCATCTTGTTGGCTTCTCAGAACGTTTTGAGGCCATCGTGGGCCGTCTTGGGGCCATGCATCTTAAACCATCTTCGCGGTGTTGGTGGCCTGCCACGATCGTCTTGGAAGCTCGGGAGCGCGGATCAGCTGTTTTTTTCCCATGGATCGAGACCTTGGGAGCGCGCATCCATTTACACAAAGGTTCGTGGCCTCGGGAGGTGGGAGGCGATGGACGTAACGGAGTGCTCCTGGGCGGGGGGGGTCCTTTAGACGACTACTGGAACCCTACCAGACAGCCCTTGGCATTGTACCACGCCTCAACGTGCCAGGGGTCACGGTTGCGGATTCAAGCTCCCATGTAGCAGGGCGTCGACTGTAGGGCGATCGTGTGCGCTCGTCATCGCGCAGGTGCACACATGCCTCCAAGAGCGCCCGAAGAGGCCCCACAACGGCCCAAGAGGGCCTGGTAGACCAAAACAGCGCTTCCCGTTTTTGTCGGATCAGGTTCAAGGTCCCATGCAGCAGTTCGTCGACTGTAGGGCGATCGTGTGCGCTCGTCACTACCCAGGTGCACAAGCCGGCCTTCGCGATCCTCGACGAGGCCACCTCTGCGAACGACACCGGGCACGAGCTTACCATGTACAGGCGAGTGGTGAGCCGAAGCGCAGCCGAAGTCTGGCCGAGGAGGGAGGAAGAGGACGATTAGGCGAAGGAGGAGGAGGAATAGGAGAAGGAGGAGGAGGAGGTAATTAGAAGGGGAAGGAGGAAGAGGAGGAGGAGGAGGAGGAGGAGGAGGAGGAGGAGGAGGAGGGGGAGGAGGACGGGGAGGAGGAGGAGGAGGAGGAGGAGGAGGAGGAGGAAGAGGACGGGGAGGAGGAGGAGGGGGAGGAGAAGGAGGAGGAGGAGGAGGAGAGGAGGAGGAGGGTAGAGGATGGAGGATGGAGGACTGAGGGTCGGGGTCAGGAGGAAGTCGGGGTCAGGAGGAAGAGGCGGATAAGGAGAGAGATTGGGCAGCCCCGGCGGCTCAGGAGCAGCGGAGGGGCGGCGGGTATGGGGGAGGTGGGGGAAACACACACACAGACACAGTTAATCGTCGACTCCCAGGAAAATATTGGAAAATATGGGAAGTGGGGGGGAAGACACAAACCAAACAAATATGAGAAAAGATTGGGAATCCTGTTATTTGTGTGTGTGTGTGTTTATTTGTGTGTCCTTTGGCCCCTTCAATGGGGGAGGTGGGGGGGGTATCATCATACAGTGGAGGCCCATGTCAAGAAACACCCTGCTTGCCTCCAGGGTGCCCCAGCTCTCTTTCTTTTCGATGGTTTTGCTATGGAAAGCGCGACGTTCCCCCACACCAGACATCAATGGACGCTCTGGGGTCTCAGGGTTGGGTTTCTTGTGGGAGGTCTCTGGTGGACTGGCCCCCACTGTGCTCACCGCTGTGACCTCGCGCTGCGCCACAGTTTCGACCGACCGTCCGTCCTGGCCCCCGGCCCTCTCTCCTGGACCCCCGCCCCTCGGATTATCCATGCCACGCGGCGCCCCGTGCCCCCTCCCTCCTGCACCTCTTCCAGTGGCACCGAGCACCGCCCCGGCCTCCAGGCTCCCCCACCGTCTCGCCCCCCCCCCCACTGGAAACGCCGCCCCCCACTGGAACCGCCGACCCCTGCAGGTGCTTCGCTGTTACTTGCAAGTGATGGGCGCTTCGGCCCCGCCCTGCGGCCCCCGCGCGGTACGTGAAGCAGGCCGATGTCCGATGTCCGATGCCCCCCCCCCTCTGCCCCCATTCCGACCGTGCGACCGTGCCCCCCCCTCACGCACCGCCCTGCCCCGCCCCCGGCCCTGGAGCACCCCCGCCTGAAGCGCCCCCCCCCCCCCTCCCCTCCTTTCGGGAGTTCGTAGGGGGGGGTTGTCCCAAGGTGGGTCTCGGGAACGAAGACCAGCTGGATGGCCCACACCTCCTTCTTCCAGGGGCCGTTCAGAGCGATGCTCCTCCCAACCCCACCGCTCTCCCTGCCCCACCTTTGCCGTCCCCCAGACCCTCTCCTTCGCCCGACCGTGCGATCGTGTCCGTCGTTCCTCCTCGAGAGCGTATTTTGCACTCCCCCGCGATGACGGGCGTGACCGGGGGCGGGGGCAGATGGGGGGGAGGAGGAGGGGGCCGGTCACGTCGCGATTCGTGGCGGCGCCGTCTGCGAGTGCTCAGGAATTCGATTCCCCACGCGGCGCCGGCGCGAAGCGTGACGCGATCAGAGTGGGAGAGGGGGTGGGTGGAGCCGGTCACGAACGTCATCGCGCACAGCCAACAAGCGAGCTCTCCTGCGCCCTCGGAGGCCCCTGTCACCCCGCCGAAGCCCCGTGTCCCCCGCCATCCTGCGTTAGCTTCATGATGCTCCAGCATGGGAAGAGTTTCGAGCACCAAGACAGGACCGAATCTGGAGGGTTTTCACGCATCGGGCCCTGGGAGGCGATACTCGTTCGACACTGTTGCGGTGTTTTTCTGGGTGCTTGGAACTATTGCAAAGGCCTTACGGCCAGCGCCGCCGACACTGAATGGCGAAGACGACGACGACGACGACGACGACGACGACGACGACGACGACGACGACGACGACGACGACGACGACGACGACGAGAACGACGACGACGAGAACGACGACGACGACGACGACGACGACGACGACTACGACGACGACGAGCGCTCTCGAGAGCCTCTTGGGGGTAGTTTGGGGGCATCCTGGGAGGCTCTTGGGGGCCGATTGGGAGTCTCGTGGGGGCCTCTTGGGGTTTCCTAGGGGTCTCTTGGGGGCCTCTTGGGACCTCTTGGGGGGCTTCTCGGGAGCCTCTGGGAGCCTCCTGGGAGCTTCTCAGGCCGAGGGCTCGAAATGACCGTTCGGGTCCCTCGTCTGGGCTCCCTCTTAGAGCCGTCTTGGGGGCCTCTTCGGCTGTCTTGGAGGCCTCTTCGGCCATCTTGAGGCGGTCTTGGTGGCGTCTTTGAGCGTCGGGAAGCTGACAAGGCGAGAATGCCGAAATCTTTCAAAAACCTAGGGGAACTCAGTGATTTGTGCCCCTTGGGGCCCTCTTGGAAGTCCGCTTGGAGGCCTCTTGGGGCGTTTTGGAAACGTTTTGAGCCGTTTGGAGGCTACTTTTGCGACTTGGATCGATGCTTCGGCGATTCGGGGCCCTCGAGCATCATCTTGGGGGCATCTTGGTGCACTTCTGCGTTCTTGGGGCTTTTCTGGGTCCCCGAACCGTCCAGGGGGAAGTCGTATCCGGGTGGCGAACCCCGCTGGGACGCCCCCCCCCCCCGGCGGGCGGGGAAGGGATCAAACTTTAAACGGAGAAGGTTAAAGGCGAGGTATAAATCGAGCATGTACCGCTGCCGTGCCTGGCTCAAGCCGGGCCCGGCCAAATATATGACTGTGCCTCACTGAGGCGCACGACTTGCATCAGAGATCGGAAAATACCTTTTCCATTGACGATGCCCATCCTATCCTTTACTCCAGATCCCATGCTTCGTCTTGCACTCTTGCTCATGCGATATGAGCCAAAGCCTGGGATATGGCAACGCTTAAAGCGTAACACATACCTAAGCTTACCAGCTTGTTTTCGACTTGGTAGCGGAGCTGGCTACACTCTCGTGTGGCTGGCTCTCGCTCTGATTCCTGTAATCCACGGCACAACTTGGTGGACTACTACTACGGTGGAATACCATGTTGCGCCGGCTCTGCGAGGAGCGGAGCCAGTCCGCGATCGAGCTAGCGGGGCAACCCGCGAACTCGAGACGCTCTCTCCTACTTCACTGCGCTACTTCACTCCCGACTTCCACCAGATGCCAATCGGCAACTCGATCGAGAACGTGGTCACCCTGCGGGGCTACCCGCAGCGGGGCCACCTGCATCCCGTGCCAGTCAGGCGCCTCACGGCTACTACGCCAGAGCCTGACAAACCACAGCCTAAACCAATCACCGAAGCCGAAATGCACATGCATTGGATCAAGATAACTATATTCGGCATTCTGTGGGTAATAATGGGATGTGCTGTGGGATACATGCGGCAGGGGATGGACGACACGCGTACTACTGGCCCTTCATGGGACCCTGCCGGTACTACGCCTTTTCGCGAATACGTTCGCGAAGTACATGCATGGTTAAACGTAACGAGTGGCAATATGACACCACCACAACAAGCTGCAGCACTACAACGAGGCCTTCAAGGTCTGGCTCGTCGTATCGCCATGCAGGTCCCCTCCCAGATCATCAATTATGGTGTAACTGTCAATGGACAGCCAACGGATGCAGTAACATATATACTGTACTTACTGAGCACCAAATTTGAAAATCTGGAAGATGAGCGCCAGCTCAACTCTGGCACTGCCCTTATCGACTTTCGCGTCGAAAGGGGCGAGCGAATCGACTCAGTGTTAGCTCGGTTCGAGATGGCCCGTGACGAGGCTAACTCTGTTGGCTTTGTCATCCCCAACTTTCAGATCCTAACGCTGATTCTCTTCAGAGCGTTAGGCGTTGGCGCGTCACGAGCCCAACACCTGCTTGAGCCCTTCAATCATCAGATGCCCCGAACACAAGCAGACTATGACAGGCTGCTGACCAGGATGAGGAACTACGGACATGTTGCCGAGCGCTCTCCTGGCAACATAGCGGGCATCTTCACAGGGCACCACTCACATGCAGGTGTCTACGCCACGACTGCGGGGTCACCCGCTGGTCCTGGCGAGCCAAATCCCTGGGCTGACCCAGCCGATATGCCCAACGAGGCCACTGCCCTTTTAGGGCAGACTGGCCAGGCATCAGCAGAGGCAGTTGAGGCGAACGCCTGGTCGAACTACTCGCCAGGCGCCGCCTACACTGCAAGCCCGCCCTCGGGCACAACCCTCTGGGGCCAAGCGGAGTCATCCGCTCAAGGGTCTCAGCCACCCTCACCGTTTGAATCTGGCACTGACACAGGATACCTCATCTGACGATGAGCACAATGGAATAGTCTCTGCTGGTAATGATACCCAGCGGATGACACTCACCTCTCTGAACAACAAAGAGCGGAAGCCGCTTTTATGGCTTATCGCAAATCAAAACGCCGTTGGAGGCGCTTTATGAAGAAACCAGTCAGAAAGGTGAGACGTGCAGTACGCCGACATTTCAAACGATTTGGAAAGGGTCGTGGCAAAGGGGGTCGCAGACGCCGTATGCATGGTAGGGGTATTACTGCTTTCCTCACGTCCTTAACTGATATGGCTTTTGAAGAAGTTCTTATCGGAGGCAAAGGTCGGGGTCACAGGCGGACCTCCGGTAAGGGAAAAGGGCGGAGGGGCAACCCTAGGGACGCTTCTGGTAATACTATGAAGTGTCATACATGCGGTAGCACAGAGCATTTGCGCGATCAATGCCCGAAGGGGAAAGGAAAGGGATCCGTACATTTGGCTCAAAATTCTTTTATGGATGACATAGATTACATTGACTACGAGTTTTACGTCAATCCAGAAGCGGCTCCCGCTGCGGGCTCCTCCACGTATTACGTGATGGCCCGCTACGCTGAAGCAACTGTAGCCCTGGAAGACTACGCAGTGACCCTCTTCGACGAGTTCCACGGCTGGGACGAGGTCGACGAGGTCGCGTACAATGCTTGGT